ATACTGATGTCATGGGACAGATGTCCCTGCTGGTGGCACACAGGTTGGAACTAGATGATCTTTAAGGTCCCTTCCAATCTTGACAATTCTACGATTGTATGATTCTATGAAATTATCCTGAAGGAGCTGCTTCTTTCTGACTCAGACGGTAAATGCCAGAGCAATCATCAATATTGTGTGGGTGCTGTCTTTAACCATAAACATGTCTAGATAAGAAGAATTAAGTAGGACTAACAATTCTTATGAGCAATGAGTACTTGAAGGCATTTGTGATCAAATCCAGCTCATACAAGTGCTGTTCACTTATGTGCAAAGCTCAGCACTGAGCACACGCATGACAGTTTCTGCTTGAACCTTCAAATAGCACCTTAAAGGGATTTTAATGATATAGAAGCTACAGGACTGGGCCTTGGAGCAAATGTAGTGTTAATCATGTACTCTAGATGTGGAAATTAACATCCTAATGCAATACTACACTAGAAGATGCGTAAGAATTGCTGTGTCAGAGGAAAGTAAGCTTTAATTTTCCTCTTGCATTGGTTTGGGCCGGAGTAGAGTTTATTTTTGTCGTAGTAGCTGGTACAGGGCTATCCCAACTGTCCAAAGAGATATTTCACACCATATGATATCATTCTTAGCACGTAAAGTTGTGGAAAGAAGGTAGAAGAGGGGAAATGTTTGGAGGGATGGCATCTGTCTTCCCAAGTCGCTGTTAGGTGTGAGGGAGCTCTGCTCTCCGGAAGAGGCATGAACCCCTGCCTGCTGATGGGAAGGGGTGAGTGAACTCTTTGTTTTGTTTTACTTGCCCTCATGGCTTTTTCTTTACCTATTACACTGTCTTTATCTCAACTGACAAGTTTTCTCACTTTCACCCTTTCAATTCTTTCCCCTATCCCACTGGAAGAGAGTGAGCGAGCAACTGGAGCTACACCACAGAAGTGGTACTTCGAAGACAATTGAATTTTAACACGGTTTAACCTTGCACTTCAGTTTCTTGAGGCAGGATTTTTAGGAGTGGATTGAGGGTTTTTTTGACACCCATGACTAATTCATTTTAAGATGCCTTGGAGCATCCTTGACATTTACCAGGAATTTCTGATATGATTCTGGACCTACAGGAGATCTGCATCCCTTTAGACCAACACTGGGGCGTGATCAATATCATTCCCTCAGCCATTCCCCAGGCAAAAAAGATCCTGAGGAGTCTGGAGAGCCTGTCTTATGAGAAGTGGCTGAGGAAGCTGTGAGTGTTTAGTCTGGAGAAGAGGAGGCTCAGGGGAGACCTCATTGCTCTCTAGAACTACCTGAAAGCAGGTTGTAGTGAGGTGGGTGTTGGTCTCTTTTCCAAAGTTAACTGTGACAAGACAAGAGGAAATAGCCTCAAGTTGTGCCAGAGGAGGTTTAGGTTGGATATTAGGAAAAAATTTCTTTGCTGAAAGAGTGGTGAGGCATTGGAGCAGGCTGCCCGGCGCAGTGGTGGAGTCACCATCCCTGGAAGCATGCAAAATGAGCAGACATGGCACTTCAGGACGTGGTTTAGTGGTCATGGTCGTGTTGGATTGATGGCTGGACTTGATGATCTTAGAAGTGTTTTCCAACCTTAATGACTCTATGACCTCACGTGACACTAAACATGTTTAAACAAGTATGTAGACTCTAAACTGTCGGAAATCTAGTAATCTCAGATATGGAAATGTCTACAGAAGAAAAAGAATGGAACTGAGGCTACCAGATGAGATAAGATAAAAACTTTAAGATAACCAGCATTCGATGCATTTATAGAGAGAGGTAGTTCCACTTGAGGTGTCCTAAGAAACTCAAGACATTCACGAGGCTGATAGGGTTGGCCTTCTTTTTAGGAAGACCTCGATCTTACTTTCTCTATCTTGAGGATGGTGTGGTTGTCTTGGGCTCCCTGAAGGACCTGACATGGCACTACAAGTCTTTGTGAGGGTGGCTCAGCTGAGATCTAGCTCTCCATCGACTACTCCACAAAGTCCCTATTTCTCAGGCACCTAAAATTAAGTATACACCTCCGGATCTGAACTCAATTCTTAATTTGAGTGAAAAGAATCTTATCTCTGGAAATGAATTGGCTGGCTACAGGTTTAGGAATGTGTTATTAAAATGATAACAATATCCATTATTTGATTTTGAATATTGATTATTTCAACATGTCTGCATGCACTTTCACAAACCTGGCACAACACTACACACATACTTTTTCACCATACAGTTTAAGGCATTTTGTTTTCACCCTCTCTCAGTTTTTTGCTGTTTTATTCTAGTTGAAAATTATTGATAAAATGGATTATTTCCCAAAGAGGTATACATATTTTTGCAGCTGAGATGTGATCAAACTTCTCCTGGTGTTACCTGGGCATTTATAGAGAAATGCATATATTGCTCCAGGGGAAAAAAAAAATTAAAAAAAAGAGAGACCATCTGGTAGAAAATAGTTAAATGAAGTTTGCAGTTCTATCATGATTTGTGAAGTTCAACCTCTTCAGTAAATACTTGAGCCTCTTCCAGCTGTTTGCTGCAACACAAATACCCAAATCTTTTCCATATTTAAAGTAAAATTAATTTAAATTTTGCTGGTTGTCTGCAAGGGCGAGGAACTGAGCAATTGCAAATCCTACCAGCTTCGGAACAGGGCCTCATGCAAAATTATCTGAGGGATCCCAGATTGAGGGACTGTAAAGTGCTTGGATGCCATCATTGGCATAATAAAGGTAACCACAAGGAATTGAACTTTACTCATGTCTAATTCGGTCAATATAGCGTTCAACCACCTCTCAGACACCTGTCAGTTAAATGAACACATCTTTTTTATCTACGGCTACCGGATTACATACTGCAGTGATGAGCACAGTACAAACAAATGGGAGGTCTGAAAGAGGAGAGATCTACTGGAATGACATTTTTCGATGTTGAGGATTTCCAGTGAAGTGATGAATGATCTCAACCTCTACTAAAGAAAGACAGGGAAAGTGGGGAAAGACTTGGATATCTCAGACCCTTTTTCTTGGTACAGAGAAAGTAGGGTAGGGTAGGGTAGGGTAGGGTAGGGTAGGGTAGATAGGGTAGATAGGGTGGTGGGAAATGAGTGTACATCTCTATAGGCTCTGACCAGACTTTGGCAATGAATCCAGATTTTGTCACGTTTCTGTGGATTGGCAATCTTTCCAGGAAAATGGCATGCAACAGACAAAAGGCATCCTGAAGTCGCTCAGAGACGATGCCCAGCAGAGCCACAGATCACTCAAGCAGCAAACAGCGTGGCTTAAAGAGTGGGAACAAGAAGGTATCACAAACAAAACAGCCTTCTCTTTCCCCAAACCTTTCTTCTATTGAAACCACTAAATCTTAATGAGTTTACTAGCCCTCTAGAAATGAGGGCAGGTAATTGCAACGTTACTCACAAGATTCAAGATCAGTTTTACCACATTTAACTCAGAAGAAAAGCCAGTTACAATGGCTCAACTCACTGGAGATACTGCAATATGTAATGAAAACATACTTAAAAAAAATGAAAGAAAGGAAGAAAAAAAAAACAAAACAGTTTTTGATAAGCAGTTCTAGAAGTCCAGGTCATCTTGATCAATCTCATCAGAGTTTTCTTTCTTTTTAGCAGCCTGAATTTCATCAGTATGTTCAGCCTCCTTTGTGTCTGCACCTTCAGCATCTGCCTGTTCCTCATCTCCCACGGGATCAGTGCACGAAGATGCTTCATCCTCATCTTCTTCCTCATCCTCAGGATACATTTGTGAGGGTTTGCTGCTCTCTTCACTTTGAACCTCTCCATTGGTGTGGTTGTTCACAGGGTTATTGTCCTCTTCGCATTCCTCTTCACCTTCACCTTCATCTTCAGACCCCTTCTGGGATTGCTGTGAGAAGTTTCCCACAGAAGAATAACAAGAAAAGACCTCTTTTTTCAGAGACCGTAGCCTTTTGCTGGTTTTATCGCCTTTGGCCTTTGAGGCTTTCTTAGAAACCTTGTTGCCTTTGTCTTCATGGTTTTCATGTGCTTTGTCAGGGTCATCAGTGGTAGGTTCCTCATTGTTCCCATCTTTCACTGCCTCAGCTTCATCCTGCTCAGCTTCTTCAGTTGCTTCTGCAGCATCTCCTTCAGGGTTGTTGCCAGTTCCAGAGCCATCAGCATCTCCTCCACACTCAGATGTCTCTTCCTCAGCATCAGCCACAGTGTCCTCATCCTCTGGCTCCTCTGCTTCTTCAGCTTCATCGTCTGTTACCGCTTTGGTCTCCTCTTCAGCTTCCTGCTCTTCAGCTTGAGCTTCTTCTTGTTCTTCCTCATCTCCTTCCTCTTCATCTTCGTTTGTTTCTTCCTTGTCTTTCACTCCTTCTTCTTCCTCTTTTGCTTGTTCCTCCTCTTCTTCTTGATTTTCTTCCTCTTCTTCCACCTCCTGTTCATCTTGATTTGTTTCTTCCTCATCTTCTTTTGCTTTCTCATCCTCCATTGTTACTTCTTCCCCTTCTTGCACTTCTTCCTCCTCCTCTTTAATTTCTTCCTCATCTTCCTTCACTTCCTCCTCTTCTTTTGTTTCTTCCTCCTCATCCACTTTCTCCTCTTCCTCTTTTGTTTCATCCTCATCCTCCTTTGCTTCTTCCTCATCCTCCTTTACTTCCTCCTCCTCTTCTTTTGTTTCTTCCTCCTCCTCTTTTGTTTCTTCCTCATCCTCCTTTGTTTCCTCCTCCTCTTCCTCTCTATTTCCTTCTTCCTCTTCTTTCATGTCTTTTGCTTCTTCCTCTTCCTGCACTTCCTCTTCCTCCTTTTTTGTTTCTTCCTCCTCCTCCTTTGCTTCCTCCTCCTCTTCCTCTTTTGTTTCTTCCTCCTCTTCCTCCTTCACTTCTTCATCTTCCTCTTCCTTTACTTCCTCTTCCTCCTCTTTTGTTTCTTCCTCCTCATCCTTCACTTCCTCTTCCTCCTCTTTTGTTTCTTCTTCTTCCTCCTTTACTTCCTCCTCCTCTTCCTCTTTTGTTTCTTCCTCCTCTTCCTCCTTCTCTTCTTCATCTTCCTCTTCCTTTGCTTCCTCCTCCTCTTCTTTTGTTTCTTCCTCCTCTTCCTCCTTCTCTTCTTCATCTTCCTCTTCCTTTGCTTCCTCCTCCTCTTCTTTTGTTTCTTCCTCCTCCTCCTTTACTTCCTCCTCCTCTTCCTCTTTTTCTTCTTCCTCCTCATCCTTCACTTCTTCTTCCTCCTCTTTTGTTTCTTCCTCTTCCTCCTTTGCTTCTTCCTCCTCTTCCAATTTTGCTTCTTCCTCCTCATCCTTCACTTCTTCTTCCTCCTCTTTTGTTTCTTCCTCCTCCTCCTTTGCTTCCTCCTCCTCCTCCGCTTCCTCCTCCTCCTCTTTTGTTTCTTCCTCCTCCTCCTTTGCTTCCCCCTCCTCTTCCGCTTTTGTTTCTTCCTCCTCCCCTTCTTTAATTTCTTCTTCCTCCTTTGTTTCTTCTCCTGCTTCCTCTTTTGCTTCTTCATCTTCTTTCTCTTCTATTTCTCCTTCTATCTCCTCCTGTTCTCCCTCCTCTTCTGCTGCCTTCATAATATCTTCTTCCTCTTTCTCTTTCTCTTCTTCCCCCTCTTTTTCTTCCTCTTCTTCTTCTTCTTCTTCTTTCTCTTTTGTTTCTTCCTCTTCTTCTTTTTCTTCTTCTTTTTCTTCTTCTTCTTTGGTTTCCTCATCTTTAACCTCACTGTTTTCTGCTGCTTCCTCTGCAGAACTCCTGGGAATTGTTTTGATGTCCTGGGCTGCTTCTGAGACACAGGCTTCCTCATCATTTTTCTTCAACCTCAGGATTTGCTGTAAATCAAATGCTTTCATGACTGGGGCATTGGTGGCCACCACTGGGTTCCTTATGGGCTTGGAAGCCATTTTTTTCCTCACACAAGAATCACACGGGCAATATTCGTCTTCACTTGTTTGTTTACTAATACTGGCCTCAAAAGTTGCACTAAATGCTATATCTTCATCTATATGAAATGATAAGTCTGACGTGTCCTCTAACCTAGTTTGGGTTCCATTCTTGTCATTGAAGAGTGACTTTTTATGCATAGTTTGCAGTCGCCGTCTCCTCTGCTCAGTTTGAAGTGTTGACTCACGTTTGAGTGGTTCATCTGGAGGTCTCGGCATCCTCTTTCCTGCTCTGGCTTTTATCTTCCTCAGCTCCTTCTCTATGCTTCTTTGTATCCTTTTACTCACTTCCTCCTTCAGCTCCAGTATCATTTCATCTGTCTGCTTGTTGTTCTGCAGGTTCCACCTGACTTTGAAATCATTCATGGCACTGACATAGTGAGCCATGAACTCCTTCTCAATTTTCTTGAGCAATTTCAGGACCCAGGTTGGGTCTGGATCCATTGAGTTTTGCTGGACAAGGGAAGAGTCCACAATGGTGGCTGTATCGACTGCGGGCTGTGGGTCATTTGGAGACTCTTTTTCAAGCTGCTCTTCCAAATCAGCATTCAGCTCTGTCCCACCATCAACATCGTTGACATTTGCATCAGCAGTAGCGTCTAGCTGATCAGCTTCCTCTTCAACATTTTCTTTTGAGAGTTCATCATTCACAGCTTCAACTTCTTCTTGTTCTCCGTTTTCAGTTAGTTTGCCTGTTTCTTTGTTTTCATTTTCTCCCCCTTCTTCCAGACCATTTTCACAGTTGCTGCACTGGTCCTCCTTACTCTCCTCTGCCTCTTGAGTTAGAGAATGCTCCCTTGTAGACTGTGCTTTTCCCTCACCTTTTGACTTTGAGCGGGCTGTCGAAGGCCGAGATGACTGCTCTTCCTCTTTACTTTTCTCCTCGGCCTCTGTCAGTTCAGTGCCAGTCTCTCCACTATCTGCTGGTCCACCTGATTTGAATTCAGCAGTTTTCTGTGTCGTTAAAGTGCCTTCCCTGGGGCCAGCTGTAATCTCTTCTCCTGAGCCACCAGAACCACTGCTAACATCAACCCCAGAGGAGGACATGGGAGTGAAGTCATAATTTGCAGATTTGGGGGCTTTACACCCAGAGGCTGTCTTTGCCTGCTCACTTGCCTCTTGATCTGAACTTGGACCACTTTTTTCAGCCGTGCCTCCAAGCCACAGGGCTTGAAAAATGTTTAGCAGCTCCATATACCTTGGCTTATTCAAACGTTTTGATTTATCTGATGGATCTTCTGACTCTTCATCAAGGAGTTGGAGACTGGCAAGACAAGTAATCAAGATGTTGGCAGAGTTACTCAGTTTTCTCCCCATAGTGGGGGACACTTCGGGCAAACTGTTTGATCGGTCAAATTTTGTTTCATGTTTTGAACTGAGCAAGGCTTTCATGATCTGGACGGAAGTCTGGACTTCTGTTGGGAGATCTCTTCTGTTGTTATTTTGGCTGGACGTGACTGACTGGTTGCATTCTGCCTGGTCAGCTTTGGCAGCTTCGGACACAACCTCAGAGATTTCTTCCTGATTCACACAATCTTCAGCTTCTTCATTGATAGCAGTGTCTTGTGCTGTCTCCTTTTTCACTTCAACCTCTGCCTCATTTTCAGCCTCCTCCACATTATTTTTCTCAGCTTTTTCATCTTCTGAGATTTCCTCAGTGTTTGTACAGTGTGATACTTCAGTGGTTGCCTCTACACATTCTTCTTCTGCATCACCTTCCATTTCATCTTTCATAAGCAATGTTTCTGAAGGGATTTTACTTAGCCATTCTTGCACGACTTCTTCTGGAGATGTATTTGGTAGAGCAGATGGCATTAAATCACCCCCTTCCTCCTGCATGTCCATGCCTTCTAACTCTTCCTCCACCTTTCTGCTGCAAGAATCATCAATTGCTTGATTCTTCTCATCATTTATTCCAGTTGCAGCTGACTTAGACCCATAGGAAGTTGTTTTGGAGGAATCTACAATTTCTTTCTGCTCTTTTCCTGTGGTCCGCACCGACTCAGACCCCATGCTGCTACGAGATGAATTCTTCAACATGGCTGAACGTATTTTTTTGTTCTTTGGCTTCCCTTTTGGTGGGGCAGGACGATGCATACTACATACTGACAAGGTCTCAGACAATGATGCTCGACTGGAGTTTGACATCTTCACGCCAAGATTTCTAGTTTTTATCGGCTTCGATTTAGAAGACTGGGATATGTTTGATTGTGAATATCGACTATTACTTTCCTCGGATTTCTGTGGCAACAAGCATTTATCTTTTACTTCTGACTTAGAAGAGACTCTTGAAGACACACTTGAAGGCTTTCCATTCCTAATCCCAGCCTCAGCTGAGCGATCACCTTTCGAACATACACTCTCACTCACACTTCCCTGTCTTGAAGAAGACGGCTCTGAATTAATCTTGGAACAACACTCCCCAGGTTTTCCATTAAAGTTTGAAACACTTGAGCAGAGGGATGATGGCTTACTAGTTTCTTCTCTATAGCTTCTCTTCTTTGAGCCTTTTGAGGATTCACTGTAGCCATTGGCAGTACTTTTGGAGCTTTGCTCCTCAACAAAATGTGTAATTGCCTCTGCTTCACTAGTAGATGAAATATTTGTGGGAGAAGACCCTGAGTTATGAGACTTGGGGTCTCCAGTAGATTTTTTCTTGATTTCACATGAGCTTTTGGAGTAATTAGAAGTCCTGCTGCCTGATCTCAGATCAGCTGTGTGCAGGGAACTCTTTTTTTTATTTGGGGTGGATTCAAGTGAAGATATAGACACTTCAGACTGTGCATCCAAATTAATATGGCTGTGTTTGCTCTTTTTGGATCCTCTGGAAGAGCAAGAGGCATTGCACGGAATGGTCTCATCACTGTCGTTTCTTTTGCTGTTCCTGCCACTAGCTCTGGAATGGGAGGTTCCTTGTGTAGAACATCGTTCACCTTCACTGCTCTCATCTCTAATTGATTGGCTAGGCTTTGATTTTGCTGACACTGAGCTGACTTCATTGATTTCATTTTCTTCTTGTTCTGCTTCAGCGTCTTCAGCCTCTTTCTTAGGGCAGGACTCACTGGAGAAGGAGGAGACCACTGCATTATCATCAGAGTGGTCATTCTGCTCACTCTTTTCTCTTGGCGTGGTACAGTTACTAGACTTGCTGTGTACACTGTTGGCAGGAGTAGAAGACCTGGTGTTATCTTCTTGATTTGCTTTCTGAAGGCTTGAGGAGGACATGCTCCTACCAATGCTACTTGTTTCCTCACATATATTCTTCTTGCTCTGTCTGGACTGCACAGATGACCTGGACATGACGCTCCCAACCCTACTGCTTTCAACCTCTTCCACATCCTCCTTTAAACATTTCACAGACGATACTTCATTTTGTGATACTTCGTCTTCATTTTGTGAATTGTTTTTTCTGGCCTCATGGTCTTCGGAGTCATCTTGAGTATCCAGGTTGTCTTCACAGCTTGAACGTGACACTAAACCCAATGAAGAAGGTCTCTGACTATTTCTCGTGCTTGCCCGAGTGTATTCTTGCTGATCTTCTACATTGGAAGCCCCTGTAGACAAATCACTTCGACACCTACATTTTTTAACAGATCTGTACGCCACCCTGCTCTCTATAGTTTCTGAGTAGGATGAGGACTCTTGCACAATGTGCTCAGAGAATTCCTCACTGGTTGTGGTGTTGAGGCTATCCACAGAAGCCATTTTTTTGTGGACTACTCTCCTCCGGGAAGATGTGCTGGAGCATGACGACCGTGTGTGCCAGGTGCTTCGTACACCAGGCTCTTCCCTCTGGGATGTGTGCATGGGGTTTTTCCAAATGTCGTAGTCCTGGTGTTTCTTTCCACAGCTGTGACAATGAGCCTCATCATATTCTGATTCCTCAAGTTTTGACATGTAAGAATCAATATCACAGGGATATAATGAGTCGTCGGCCTCTGAGCTGGCCTCTGGGTTCATTTTCTGTATTGGGTCTACTCCACTGTCCTCCTCTAGACCTGACTCTTCACAAGGCCTCTGGTTCATCAGATTGGACTTTTTGATCTGGGTGGACCACTGCAAAGTCTCATCATTTAGCAAGCGGAAGCGGACTTTCATCTCAACGGACAGGCTACCGTCCTTGTTTACATGTACCCGTTTTTCTATGTCGTCGTTGACCAAAGAATGAACCAAATCCCCAGGTTTTGTGTGTGAGAAGCTGTTTGAGAAAGGTGGGCCATTATCCGGTGAGGCGACGAGACCATTAGGATACGACTTTTCCGATGATAAGGAAAATCTCATTGACCTATTGCTCGATGCTGACCGTGGATGGATAACACTTTTTTTGGCTTTCAGTCCAAAGTCCACTGGAGTTTGAAATAAGTAAAGAGAAAAAAAACAGAGAGAAATATTAACTTGTAGAACAATGACAAAAAATACATAGATCAAATCCCTAAACTACTTAATACTGATTTTATTCCTTTAAAGATAAGCCTACGTCAGTTTACATGATTTGAAAATTTGCCTTTGACTAAGTAATGACCATAAATATTGTTTCAAATGAACAGTCTGTATTAAAATCTTCTATGCCTTAACTTTATTATGTTTTAATATAAACTGAAAAAAATATTTTTTTCCTTTTATTATGTGCACATTGGCAAGAAAACATATATATACAGTTCCTATATTTTATCACTTTGCAAATGTCCCTTTACTTAACTGCGGAAGTTTTCATCCTTCTTATTCAGTTGGGGAAAAATATACGGAGAAGTGACCCTCTTCCTTAGTTAAAAGTCAAGTGTCACACATTTATTGTGCGTCATCCACTTCTACACTCACGTGTCAGGAAAAACACGTGTAGCCATGTCGGCCAGAACAGCACAGAGTCCCTGCAGGGATGTGGCACTATGAACAACTATAATGCTTATTGAAAGATAAAGGACAAATGGAAAAAAGAATTATGAGCCAGTGATAATTGCAAAGAGAAGTAACAGTAGTTAGAGGGAATCAGTGATAGAATTGTAGTCTAAAGCACAACTCTATGGTCCAGTGCAGTGATCTGCATAGATTTATTGAGGTCCTAGACCCTTCATTTCAAGCAGAATCCATTGCTATCACACTATCTTTCAAGATATGCATCTATCTTGTTTCTAATAAATGCGTTTGTTCAAAGTTTACTTTTATATCTCTAGACAACCATGTCTCTGCCTATGAATGTGCAGCTGAATGGAGAGCATTTCAGAAAGGAAGTGTTGGACATGGAGCACACCAGCTAAGATCAATAATATGTGAAACAGCTTCTTTCTAACCATCCTTATGCGTTTGAACTGATGTATCTGCTCAATCTCTCTCAGTGAACAGATACTCAGTTTACTCCTACTGTTTCCTCCATTTTTTTATGTCTTGGGCAGTGAGTGTGGGACATCTCTGTCTTGAAGTTTCTACAGGTAGTTGTCAACACACGAGTGAATCTTTCCTGGCTCCTGGTGTTGACAATGGACACAAACAGGTGCATTTCTGCCTCATTTCATCCTAAGTCGAATCCCTAATATAGGTGAGATTAATTGCCCTCTGGAAATGGGAAGGGCCGCCAAGGGTGGCTGATTTAATCACTTGTGACCTTAGATACCTCATACTGAAGTGCCTAAGTAATATCATCCTGAATAACTCATAACATACTCCTTTGTGAACATGATCACTCCATAAAGACATCTTTTATTTCCAAGTAACTGCAGATAGCTGTTAGTTGCCCAAAGTTGGAAGTGCTCTTCAGACCTTGAAAAATCAGAAGTGGTTTAGAGAAAGTATAACAGAGTCTGAGAAACTGAGTCTCCTGCTGACAAAACCAGGGTGTCCTCTGCTCTGGATACAGGCAAATGCAGAGATGCAGGTGTGATATGACAGACAGATGAGGGGATGGAGGATTCGTGGGAAATCTCAAGGGTTTGGGGCGTCTCAGGGGCAGACACAGGAAAGGAGGGAGTTCTGGAAGGAAAAGGAGACACAGAGATATGAAAGAGGAAGGGAAGTCAGCCAGACGTGGGGAGCATGTAGAAGAAAGACTGGAGGGTGTAGGGAGGAAATCCTAGAAGGAAACCAGAGAAAAAGAAGGGGAGGATGGAAAGGCCTGGGAGGCAGAGAGAGGGAAGTACATTTTCCACACTAAATCTGCACCTTGGGGCAGCACAATAGGTGCCTGTACTCTCCATGTTGTGAGACACAGGCCTGGAGACGACTGTGCAGTACGCCCCAGAGTTTTCCTTACTTTCATTGTTTTCGTTGACATTGTTGCCGTTGGAACGGGGAGCCAGGTCGGGCAGCTTCTCCACCGAGTGTTTCCTCAAGTTCTCCATTGATATAGGTTTAAATGGCTCCCGGCCGACACACACCAGGATGCTGGGGCAGTGAAGCAGAGCCTGCATGCTGTCGATCTAGAAAGAGAAGAGCAAGTGGGCTGCCATGAGTTGGTAGAGCAGAACTAGGTTTTACCTTCAAGCTCCAGAATCAATTGACTTTTACATGTCACCTAAAATAAAAGTTCTGGTGAAATTCAGAGTCTTCTGGAGTCTGCGGGCAGGCTCTGTTGCAGTATTCTTCCATTGAAAGAGAGACTCTGCCATGTTTTAGTCAGATTTCCTAAGATAGGGAAGGAATGGGAGAGCTTGCCTAAGGGAGAAGATATCTCGTTTATTACAAGTTTTGCATTTTCTGGGAAAGATTTAGGCAATGTTGTAGTGAGGAAGAGGGTGGAACTGGCGGATTCTCCAATTTCCCTTACAGAGAATTCTACTCTTTAATTCTTCTAATTCCTGTATGGGACAACCTGTATTACCTGGTAAATGCTACATTCCGGATTGACCATTAGTTCTCTTCCTTCCTCTAATCAGGAAGGGACAAGAATCGTGACTTCCCCCAATATTACCTCAAATATTGTCTCAAATATTATCTCAAGTATTGCTTCAGTGATGGACAACATGGGACATTGTCCCGCAGTGTGGGAAGTGCCTGTGGAGGACTCTGTTCCCCCATGAGAACCCAGGCTTACAAGCTACATCTTCACTTCATGACCTGTGTCTGGATTATACACCAAGTCCTTCACGTCAGCTGCAGCTAGTAACAGAGAGCAGGGCTAGACATTGCAGAACATGACTTTTACCCAAGTATAGTGTTTAACTGGATTCCAAAGGAGCAGCAACCAGTCTTGTCATGAGCACTGGCTAGACAAAGCCTGGACCCCTCTTCCATCTTGCTTCTGCGATCACTTATTTGTAAAATTGGAGTTAGACTCTCAGGTAAACCACTTGTTTGCTTCTAAAAGTATTAGAAGGATCTCTTGCTGTCTGAGAGGGATTTATAATGGCCAACATCTGGCAGCTTTGTGCTGTCAGGGGTCTCCACAACCCAGTTAGGATGTTTCTTCCTCCTAAGACTGCTGCATCATGGAATGATAGACTGGCTTGTGTTGGAAGAAACCTTAAAAATCATCTCGTTCCATACCCGCGACATGGGCAGGGACACCTTCCCCTAGACTAGGTTGCTCAAAGCCCCATCCAGCCTGGCCTTGAACACTTCCAGGGAGGGCGTTTCCACAACTTCTCTGGGCAACCTGTGCCAGTGTCTCACTCTCACAGATAAGAATTTCTTCCTAATATCTAATCTAAATCCACCCTCTTTCTATCTGAAACCATTTGATCCGTATCTTATTGCATCAGGCCCTGCAAAAAAACCTTGTCCTCATCTTCGCTAGAAGCCTTCAAGTACAGAAGGCTGCTATAATTTCTCCCCAGAGCTTTCTCCCCCCAACTCTCGCAGCCTGTCCTCATAGTGGAGGTGCTCCTGCCTCCTGAGCATCTTTGTGGCCTTTTCCAGACTCACTTCAACAGGTCTATGTCATTCCTGTGCTGAGGGCCACAGAGCTGGCAAAGAACTGCAAGTGAGAGCAGAGTAGAAGGTGAGAAGCATCTCTAGAGCATATGGAAACTCACTCGTGAGAAATGACCCTGCAGTGGGCTACCAAGGTGTTAGGCAGCACTGGTGGTGGGCTAAGCACTATCTTGCCTGTGAAATGCTCCCTGACCTCAGTGTGTCACTTAATCATCATCCCTTTGACTAGCAACCGAGTATGGAAGAGAATAGATCTCAGAGGAGCTGTGATGACAGTTCTGCAGTTGTCACACGTGCCTGGCATAACAGTACATGAAGGAAGGACCCCTCTAAATGTTGCTGTAGCAAAGGAATGAGGATGAGGCCCCCTTTGTAATCCAAGTCCTTAGTTTGTGAAATGCCTCTGGGTTTTTGTGAGACAGTTCATATCACCACTTGAGAAGTGCTAAGATAATAACAGTGATGGATCTTGTGCAAATAAGAGGAGGGTGTGTGGAGGGTGAAAGAACAAGAGAGAGACAGGCAGATCCACACTCAAGACCCAATTAAACACTTCTGGTAATTTTTCTTACAGAGAAGTTGGCATCAAATTTTTAGTGGAAATACACCAAAATCTCACCATCTTCCCCTTAGCATTTATTTACTGTTTGCACTATAACAACATTTGGAAGCTGAGGCCCATGCTTTAAAAACTCACAGTATGTGAGGCTCTTCTCTCTTAAATTAAGCACCACATAAAGCAACAAAACTCCCGAATCTGTGTGATGAGCACCTTAAAATACAAACAGAAAATAACCCACAAATCTCAGTCTGTCTATGTCTACTGCTTGTCACTTATCAATAAATCTCCTTTTGGTCCATATAGTTCTAAAGGAAACTCTAGCTCTCCCAAAAAGTTTATAGAAAATCTGTAGTATAATAATTGACAATATTTTGAGTAGGGGTTTGCCACCTGTATAGTTCTTTTCTTTCTTTACTTTCCTGGTCTTTTGTCTTTTGTTCCTTTATGGAGATTTTCACTGTGTCCTCATATAAGTAGAAAAAAGGTGAGGGTAGCAAAGGAGAAAAGGGAAAAAGGGAGAGAAGAAAGAAAAATAGATGTGAAATCCTTTCCAACCTTAATGTAAAACAACCTGACTTTAAAACCCCACTAAGTTTAGCAACTATTCCTATTTGCAAAGGGCATTTTTTTCAGTGAAAGCTATTTTTTGCCCAGGACATTTCCTCACATGGTACTGTGTCTGTATATAGATACTTCAGTCACACTCATCACTGGTGCGTTGCATGTGCAGAAAATAGATGGTGCGAGTGACACAGCTTCAGGAGCTGATGGAGCTGAGCCAGATGAGTTATTGAATTAATGTAGACTGCACAAACCAAATCCTTTCACATGGAATACACTTATGTTATGTGGCTTAAAATAAAGGGTCTGTTATGTAGTATTTCTGGCATCATCACCTCTTTAGCGGTGTTCATACCTACAACATTGCTTTTCTATTTAATATCTTGCAAGATTAATCTCTTTGAATTAATAATTGTAGGCATTCATCTGAATTTGGGAAATCAGCACTTTGTGACACTTCGCTGTTAAAAACAGTTTGGTAGTTGTAAACACAACAAACACGGATGTTTCCAAAGGCTTGAATAAATCATTTTTTTTCTCGCATTGATTTGGTTTAATGCAAGATCCATACTGACAAGGCAGTGGAGCTGGGATAACAGCTCGTCTCAGCACTGAGCTTTCCCATACTGCTGCATGAATCCCATCCTCTCAACAACACGTCACTGCCTGGGCTACGCAGAGGACATCTGTCTTCGTGGTAATCAATATGGCATTTCTTTACTAGTGCTAAATTATCTCTAAACAGTCTGTCCCCTCTCAGGTGTTTAGCAACTTGCAGCTCGCTCAGGGTGTCCCAAGATGAGGTCCATGTTTTTCTTCTCGAATTCGCTTCTTTTGAAGGAATGTATAATAATTATTTGCAATGTGAAGTGATCAGATCCCAAACCTGCAGGCATGCCGGTGACTACTATTGCTCCTGAACACGCTGGGTAAAATATCAGATCCATTTCAACCAGTGGCAGAATTTCCTCTGGCTTTTCTGGAGTCTGCATCCCACTGCTTCCAACTAGCAAACAACACGAAAACCAGAAGTGTCCTTTTGCTATCCTACAAGGGAAATGATCGGGTTCTTCTGCTTGGACATATCAACTACCAGGAAAAGATTTATTATGACTTCAGAAACTGTATTTTCCATGCACTTTCTGCCATTGATTTTCAGGCTGGGGAGAGGAAATAGGCCACCAAGGAGAAAATTGAATAATAGAATCATAGAATCGTAGAATCATAGAATTATAGAATCGTAGAACCATAGACTGGCCTAGGCTGGAAGGGACCTTAGAGATCATCTAATCCAACCTCCCTGTCATGAGCAGGGATGTCTCTCAGCTAGATCAGGATACTCAAGGCTCCGTCCAACCTGGCCTTGAACACCTCCAGGGTGGGGGCAGCCACAACTTCTCTAGACAATTTATTCCAAAGTCTTGCCGCCCTCGTACTGAAGAATTTCTTTTTAAGATCCAATTTAAATCTATTCTCCTTCAACTTAAACCCATTTCCCCTTGTCCTATCACCGGACACTCTTGTAAAAAGTCTCTCCCCAGCCGTCCTGTAGGTTCCCTTCAGGTATTGGA